CGTATCATATGAAATTGTTTGTTATTATTTTAAGTTCTTTCTAGAACTTTTTGGTGCGTCATTTTTTGTTTATTTTATTATTTTTATTTTGTAATTTCAATTTTGTTTTTAGCTTGTAATTTTTCTTTTTCTTTATGTTTTTTCTTTTAATGATATATTTGGAACATCAGAATGGACATTTTCATTACAATTGGTTTCCGAGGCTTAATCTGCAAATTTACCATTGATTTTAGGGCCGTTCTTGTGTGGGGATTTGGGGGCTAAAGCCCACCCCATATTTTTAATTAACTGAATCTAGGCAATGACCTAAATTGTATAAAAGAAATAATCCCACCAAGTCAGAAGATTCTGCAGAATCTAAAGAACCCATTGAGTTATCAAAATTATCACTGGAAGTTTTTTTGGTCCATTGTTCTTCATTGTAAATCAGAACAGATATAATATATTTTATGTCTATATTTGTTTGTTTATGTTTATGTATGTTTTACGTATATATGTGGTTGTCTATATATGTGTGCGTATGCATACATATCCTATCTTTCTTTATTTAGTTTGTTTATAACCTGATATCTGTCTTTCAACTACTCATGCATCTTACATGCGTTATTTTGATTTTTTTAATCTTTATTTGATACCCCCCTACTTTTTATCTATATGTTCTTGTATGTAATTTTTAATGGGTAGTTCGTGTCGTTTTATGCTTAAATCTTGGTGACTTTGCTTATTATTATTTATTGTATCTAAAATACAATTGCGGCACAAGGCCAAAATGGGGAGGGGTAGAGGCTGGTTACCACTATCTTATGCCTAGGTAATCTGATTCACGACCCATCACACATTACAATTTTCATATTCACCATAAGAACTCGTCCGTCACCATTCATTCCTCCATACACCATAGTACCGCATCCTCTCAAGGGGAACCTACAAAACTCGCCCCATGCCATAACAATCAAATGATTATAAAGTATATACTTAAAAATTTATGGATGAATAAAATGAGAGTGGAGGGAATGAACCCCAAAACAAACTAAATATAAACACCAAGTAAACTAAACATAACTGATGTTAGTAGGGCCCGCCCAACCCTCAAAAAAGAGAGGCTACTTTATTCTGTTCCTTGGACAAAATCAAGAGGTTCTCTCGCTTAGGGAGTGGGAAAGGAGAAAAATATACGGACATGGGAAACAAAAAGCTAACTCAGTCGAGATAAAAAAAAGGGACCGAAACAAACTGGGGAGGTTGGGAATCTCAACTTGGATCATAACCAAAGAGGCAGCCGAGAACAGGCAAGGAACAACTCTTACTCACATTAACTAGGTACACAAAAGCTTGTCTAACCTAACCAAAGGGAAGGCTCCACAGGAAACCACCCCGATGTGACGTAAGTTGACCTAGAAGAGAAAATCAAGGCTAGCCCTGTTCAAACAAACCAAGTTCGCCTCTTTCACCCACCTTTCGCTGAAGACTGTCGAATGCAAGCGTTTTCTATCAGTTCTAATCTTTATCGGAGTAGATCCTGATAAGAAAGACGGTTGCCTCGCAAGACTTCCTCCATTCGCGTCGACCAAATCACCATTCGGGCCGTGACCAGCAGCGTCATAAACACCATTCGTTTCACCCCAGAATACGGGGGCGACACATTGTCACACGCGTATGCGCGATAAATAAGTACGAGCTTTTCGGGAGCGAGACGTGCAGTCAACTCGCCGACATGGTCCCATAAGGAGCGGACTCGGGGACAATGGTAGAAGGCGTGCGAAGCCGTTTCCTCTAAACCAAGGCCACACAGTTCACAGTCTGGCAAATCCGCCAAGCCCCATATGAAGACCTTGTCATTGAGAGACAGCCGATTCCGAGCCAATCGTCAGGTAAGCGAAAACTCAGAGTTACTGAGATAATCCGCCGCTGGCGCCCAAGACCAGAAAGAGCGAAAATCCTCCTCCGACAAGTCTAGCTGCTCATGTAGAGAATCCTTCGCGGCCCCAACCGCTAAATGACGACAGAAGACCTTCCTAGGCTGAGAAAGGTCACTGGACCAAAGGGACAGCCAACAAGGCCGACCGACACTCGCGAGGGTTTACGGTGGCGCTCAACTCGCGAGATGGGGGTACTGATAGTAAGGAAAGGGAACGCATCCGTAACATTCCCCGCCATAATCGAATCTCATGTCAATGCGCGGCGTAGGAAAGCCAACCTCGAGGCAAGTTTTTGGCTCACCAAGTGTGGCATTCCCAGCCCCCCCACCCATGACACGGACGTTGTGAACAGACTCGTCTGTCGACCTGATACCCGCGTCCCCTCCACAAAATGGAAGATAGCGAGCACTCGAGCGGCTTCCTATGGTCTTTACAGAGAGGAGATACGGACAATTGATAAAGGACAATCGGGAAAACATAAGTGGCACACGCCTCCGCCCTGCCCTTCACGGACAACTTCCGTCGACGCCAAGTCTGACTGGCCGCGTCGAACTTTGCTCGTACTTCAGACCAATTTTTCTCCAGCTGAAGGTCGGGTCCAAACCACACTCCGAAAATGCGAACAAGACCGTCCGTCCAACCGAAAGGTCCCGGAAGATCGACCCCCTTCCAGGCACCTAACCGCAAGCCGGACGACTTGTCGCGGTTAATCTTGGCCCTGTCACTTTTCGTACCGATCAAGCGCCTTCAGTACCGCCTCAATGTCACTGCGGGACGACACGAAAGCAGATACCTCATCGGTGTACGCGGAAACCCTGGCTCGAGCCCCTCCAGGAACGGCGATTCCACGTAGGGCCGGATTGCAAGGCCTGTCCCTCAGCTGGCGAAGGAGAGGCTCCAACGCCAAAGGATAAAGTAGGGGCGACAGTGGACAACCCTGACGAACCGACCTAGACAGCGCAAAGGCGCCCGACAGCTTCCTGTTCACCTGTACCACAGTACTGGAGAGCGATACAGGAGGCTAATCCAGCAGCAGAAGCCGGGTTCGAATCGGACGGCCTTCAGGACAGCAACAATGTAGCGATGGTCTACCCTATCAAATGCCTTGGACTGATCTAAATTGATCAGTGCGGCCTCATCGTCTTCTTTTACACCCTCTATGATCGTGCGTATCAGATGCAGGTTGCTCTGAATTGTTCGGCCCCTCATAGCACAAGTCTGCTCAGGACCCAACAGAGACTCGGCAACTGACTGCAAGCGCTCCTGCAGGATCTTTGCCAAAATCCACAGTTTTTTTCCCCAAGCCATTGACTAAGAGAAGGACACTCTGTAAAGCCTACGACCTGGGGGCTTCACTGCCATCGGCCCAACTCGCTAGGCCGTGGCAGATCGAATCCCAGATGTAAAGGGTGGGGACAGTTCAGTGCACATTGCACTTCACCTAAAAACTCCACTGCGCAGGCCTGAGGGAGACGCTCGCATCTACCAATCATTTCCAGGAGAGGGGCGAAAATAGCAGCTGGAAGATTACACTGGAAGTCGTAGTCCCAATCCCTCATGCAGGCGGGTCAGGATATTGGTCGTCTGATGTTGACCTGGAGACGACAACATCGTTCGGCAGCAACCTGAATGACCACGCAGCCTACTCTAGGGACAGCACTGCTTGCTCCATATGGAGAGAGACCTAGAAAAGTTGGCCTAAACAAAGCTCACCTCCTATATTTCCCAGTTGGCTAACCGCGATCAACGGACCTCTTCTCATGCAGTCGAACGTCAGTAAAGAAAAGGTTCACACCCACCTGTAAGGGTATCAAAAGATTACACGTAGCATGCTGGAAATCAGGACCATGCTGGATATGCCCGACAGTGATCGACCAGAACGTCGCTCTGCTCTAATTGCAAATGAATCGTCAAGACTAAATCTTGACATCGCTGCTCACAGTGAAGTCTGTTTCCAAGAGGAAGGCAGCCTACAAGAGCACAGCTCAGGATATAACCTCTACTGGTCAGGCAATTCTGTAGCGCAGAGTCGTCTTTCGGGCGTATGTTTCATGATCAGAGATTTCATTGCCTTCAAGCTTGAAAACCTGCCCTCAGGTTATTCTGACCGTATCATCTCTCTGCGTCTCCCACTGAGTAATCTTCAATATGTCACACTAATTAGTGTGTACTAATAAGCAGATCCCGAGGAAAAAGATAAATTTTACTCAGAACTGCGTAGCCTACTACGTGACGCCCCTGCAGGTGATAAGATTATAATCCTTGATGATTTTAATGCCAGAGTAAGCCAAGATTTTGCGGCCTGGAAGGGAGTGCTTGGGAGACATGGTGTTGGTAACTGTAACGATAACGGACGCTTGCTACTAGAGTTCTGCGCAGACAATCAGCTCATCATCACGAACACCATCTTTCAACAGAAAAACCGATTGAAAATAATCTGGATGGTCTAAACATTGGCACCTCATTGACTATTTCATAGTGCGCCAGTGTGTCCTGAAATACATTATGCTCACAAGAGTGATACCTAGTGCAGAATGTCATATCGACCATCTCCTTGTTCGTTGCAAACTCAAGCTTCACTTTAAACTCAAGCCAAGAAAAGGAGGGGCCTTCTGTAAAAAGTTCAATGTTGGCAGATTTAAATCAGATGACGTGAAAGATAACTTCCAAGCAGCACTTGTGTCAAGGCTTGAAAATACGAGCATCCCTGCAGATTCCTCTCCTGAAACACTTTGGGAAAAAGTTAAAACTGGCATTCTACAGATATCTGTAGAAGTCCTTAGGTTCTTCTCAAGGAAGAACAAAGATTGGTTTGATGAAAACAACGTGGAAATTCAAGAACTGCTAGTGAGGAAGAAATCAACTCATCAAGCTCACTTAGCTCAGCCAGCTTGTACTGTAAAGAAAGCTGCGTTCCGTTTCATATGCGATGACCTCCAGCAGAGGCTTCGAGAGATTAAGAATAAGTGGTGGACCAAACTCGCTGAAAATATTCAGCTGTATGCAGACACTGGAGACATCAGGAGCTTCTATGAAGCTTTAAAGGCAGTATACGGTCCTATATATCAGGTCCAGAGTCCTATGCACAGTGCAGACGGCCAGATGCTCCTTACAAACAAGGTGTCCATCCTAAAACGTTGGTCGGAGTATTTCCACGCCCTCTTCAGTGCTAATCGCTCGGTCCAGGAACCAGCAATTCTCCGCATACTCCAACAACCAGTAAAAATGGAACTGGATCAGTTGCCAACCATTGAAGAGACTATCAAAGCCATAAAGCAGCTGAAGTGTGGCAAAGCAGCAGGAGTTGATGGAATCCCACCTGAAATCTGGAAGCATGGGGGTCCAGTGTTGCATATGAAATTCCATGTGCTCTTTTGCTGTTGTTGGGAGCAGGGAAAATACCACGAAATTTCCACGATGCAGTCATCATTGCCCTGTACAAGAACAAAGGGGAAAAATCTGACTGCTCCAATTACCGAGGAAAGATCCATCGCAGGAAAGATCCTTGCAAGGGTTCTGCTGAATAGGCTAGTACCTGCCATAGCGGAACAGAACCTTCCAGAGGGTCAGTGCGGCTTCAGAAGCAACAGGAGCACAACAGGCATGGTGTGTGTTCTCCGGCAGCTGCAGGAGAAGTGTCGGGAGTAAAACAAGGGCTGTATGTGGCGTTCATTGATCTGACGAAAATATTCGACACAGTGAGCAGAAGAGGAATGTGGCAGATCATGGGGGGACTCGGCTGTCCCCCAAAGTTCCTGATCATCTAACTGCACGAGGATCAGTGTAGCCAAGTTAGACACAACGGCGATCTCTCAGAGCACTTCTCGATCACCAATTGTGTAAAGCAGGGTTGCGTTCTCGCACCGACTGTCTTCACTGTTTTCTTCAGCATGATGCTCAAGCAAGCCATGAAAGATCTTGATAAGGAGGACGGAGTCTACATCATATACCGTTTCGATGATAGTCTGTTTAATCTAAGACGATTAAAAACCCAAACAAAGACCCTAGAGCATCTTATCCGAGACCTGTTTTGCTGACGAAGCTGCTCTTGTTGCCCACACAGAAGGGGCTTTGCTTCACAGAGGCCCCCAAGCTTTTTGGGCTTGAAAATTTAAATAAGAGCAACTCTACAAGACTGCGCCTCGGTATGAGTATCGCCCTCCCCACATAAACATTGGCGCAATTGAGCTGAAGGCAGTTTATCGGTTTACCTACCTTGGATGTGCCATCACATCGGATGCTGGGATTGACTGGCAAGGGCGAGCATTGCATTTGGCAGACTGTACAAAAGTGAAGAAGGGTACGAAGATCAGGGTGTATAGAGCTATCGTCCTTGCCACTCTCCTATACGGCTCAGAGTCATGGGTCACTTACCGACACGACTTGCGACTCCTCGAACGGTTCCACCAGCACTACCTCCGCACGATCCTTAACATACACTGGAGTGACTTCGTCTTCAATATTGAAGTTATTGAAAAGGCGAAGATCACCAAAATTGAGGCAGTGATGCTGAAGTCCCAGCTGCGCTGAGCTGGACATATTTCCAGGATGAAGAATCATCGCCTGCCTAAAATTTTATTGTATGCGAGCTCTCCAATAGCTACCGTGGCAGAGGGACACCAAAGAAGCGATTCAAAGATTGCCTGAAAAAAAAACAAAAAAAAACAAACAAACAAAAAACAAAAATAAACCTTTGTTGCTCGTCAGATTAACCATTGCCAATGGTCAACACTAGCTGAAACCATGACGCCTGACGTCTCACCACCAACCATGCTGTCTTCGCCTTTGAAAATAACTGCAAGGCCGCTCTCAGGGACAAGAGACAGAAGAGGAAATACTGCAATGCTGTGCCATCAAGCCCAGACCAGACTTTTAGCTGCAACTACTGCGACCGAGTATGCCTTTCCCGCATTTGACTTATCAGTCACAAACGGACCTGCAAGTAATGTGTACAGACCCCCCCCCTCGTGATCTTCGTTTTGCGAAGCCAAGCCATGATATATATATTTTTATTTAATTTTTCTTGTGTTCGAACAAGAGCTTTCTTTTTTGGACACAGAGTGTGTAGAAACTGTCCAAATATTCTATAATTCCGAGCGCTTTCGGCTATACATTTAGCCATTATCAAGGATGATTTTATTTTTTCAGATTAATTGAGTGTGTGCATTATGTGGTGTATGTTTTTAGTGTTTTGCAGATGCTTATTTTTACGAACACGGTTAGCACATTGTAGCCTAGTTCATAGTCAATATTGTTAAATGTTGGCTTTTTCTTTTTTATTATTAGAGCTTCCATTATTTTAAATCTTTTTTACAGGTGGATGAGATTATTATGTTTGTGTTTTCGAATGAAATCTGGTAAGTTTGTGTGTGTTTTTAAATGGGTTCTAATCGAGCTATGGTCAGATAGGTGTAAAGTAAGGCGTCTGGATATCTATGTAGTTGTGTGAGCGATGAAATTATTTATGAATTAACAGTAAGAGATAGATCAAGTATCGACCATCATAAAGACTAAAAAATAAAATTGACAAAGATTATTGTTTCAGGTTGACGGACACGCATGTCTTAATTAGTTTTTTTGTTACGAATTGGTCAAACCCAAACTCAAACAAAAACATTGTTTTCAATTGTTATGAGTCTATCGATTGAATAGAATTTTATTATAAACAATTGTCTTGTAAATGGAATTTTTAAAGCATTTTGAATGTAAAAATAAAGAAAAAAGTGTGCAAGACAAAAAGAAACACTACCTGCCAAAAAAGTGAAGTTTTGTTGAAATCGGTTGAAAAATGTAGGAAATCCGATCCCATATATAAACGAACACAGACAGACAGACACACACACAAACAACCTGGGTTTTATAATAATTATAACTCGATATGAGTTGTCCCCTTTCATTTCAGAATCGTGTTTTATCGTGTTTTCAAATTGACTTTGTGCAAAAACAATTGTATTTTTCCAATTTTTGGCGCTGTCAGAACCACGGCAAGGTAATTTTACGCAGTCCCGTGAAGTTTTGTTGAAATCAGTTGAAAAATGTAGGAAATCCGATCCAATATATAAACGTACACACACACACACACACAGAATCTGCGTTTTATAATAAGTAAGATAATTAATTTGATTTTTTTATTCCGGTCACTTGAGGTAGTGTATTTCTTTATAATTATAATTATCATTTCTTTAATTGTATTATGAAGAAATACACTATCCGAACTGACCCGAATAAAAAAAATCTAATTATCTATTATTAAAAAGTCACGTGATTTTAAGAGTTATCTCCCCTTCCGGGTGTAAACGCCCTCAGAAAATTTTCCTTTTGCGAGCACGTGTCAAAAAAAACAAAAAAACTCTGACGTTGCTAATTATGTTCGTATTTTCAAAATTTTTTTTCAAAATTGTATTTCTTAAACCTTATTTCACGAAATGTTATTAAATTTACTTATTGTTTTTCAGTGATCGTCATTCTGCAATTCTGTTTTTTTTTTTTTTAGTTTCAGTTCTAAGGGCGGGAAAAAAAGTGAAGCCCGATTTCTCCAGTCTTTGGACATCTTTGTTAGAAAATTTTCAGAAAAGTAAGTTTTAGTTTTTTAAATTCTTATTTCAATATGTTTTTAATTTTTGTTTTGTATTTACTGCTTTATAGCAAGTCATAGATTAATTATTTTTAGTTGAAACTAAGCAAAATAATTGAAAGTTTAAGAGAGAATGACAACGTCCCACTTTGGACAACGTTACAAACAACATTTGAAAAAGTTTATTGAATTCTTATTTCAATAAATATTTTGATTTTTGTATTGTTTTTAGTGAATCATACTTTAATCTATTTTTTTCTTTCAATATAGAAGGAAACCCAGAGACGAAACCCAACTGGGCTTTTTGAAATGAAAGTCAATAGTATTGCAAAACTTGAAGAAAGAGTAAGTTCTTTTTTCTTAATTCTTATTTTAATAAATATTTTGAATTTTTGTATTTATGGTTCTTAGTGAGTCCTACTTTGATTATTTTTTATTTTTATTTTTTTAGCTTCTATAGGTACCTCCCACTTTTCCACTGAAAAATATTAGCATCACGAAAAAAAGGTCCCAAACTTAATTAAAAAAGTTTTCTCGCAAGGATATTTATTTTAAGAGGAAGGTCCAAAGTATTAGATTATTTTATTAAATTTTTAATCCTTTCTAACACGTTCAAATTTTTTTTATCAGTGGTCGACCTCATATTTACGATTAGCTAGTATTTTAGCGCTTTTTCTGGTGAAAAACACATTGATTTGGAAATTCTTGTAAAAATCAAATTGCCATGAAACTTTCAGAACTTCACAAATGAATGAATTTTTTTTTACGTTACCCACCCTACATACTTTCATTTCATTTAGAGAAATTAAGTATGCATCCGAAATTGTTTTTATTAATTAAAAGTAGGACTTGGAGAATGTACAATTTTTTTTCTTTCAAACTACTCATTTCCCGAAAACGGCTTCAAATCGTAAAATGAAAATGCAATGAAACTGACATTATTTAATTAGAAAAGCTTTCTAATTGCTCCACTAATTCGGATAAATTTTCGATATTGAAGTTTTAAAATTAATTTTTTAAATTGAAAAAGCATTCTTGACAATTTCATTTTAGCTTTAATTGTAAGATAAATGATTAAATTTACTTAGACTATTTCCACTGCATTAAAATACTCTGTATTTCAAATAGAAATTATTATTGGATTTTTAGAATGTCAATTATTTGCTCGCTTTCAACAAATACATTTACAAGTATTGTAAACAAAAGTTAATTATTGGTTTTAAAAATATTTTTATGACAACTTATTTGAGAGAAATTAGCAAATTTGACGTAAATTGATTTGATTTGAAACAAATATTACTTAAAAACATAAAAAAACGTACAAGCATTTCTTAACCACAGGGTCTTGTTTTTCTGATGTGTTCAGTGATGTAAGAAATTGTTGACAGTTAATTATGGATGACCAGAATTAGCATAAGTTTACGAAATCTAAGTAAACTTTTTTTTTATTTTTATAACTATCTAGTAATTTTTTTCAAATTAACATAATATTTTCTGCATTTACCTAATATTTTATCGACTTTCAGTTACTGTAGTTTTATAGCATTACGTTTGAAGATGCTTTCGTTAAAAATAAAATTTAGAATACTATAACGAATAAACTGAAAGTAAAAAAAAAAAAAATTCTCAATTGAAGTATGACCGGCACTAAAATAAATAACATAAGAATATTTAGTGAAGTAGAAACTAGAAAACATAATTTCAAGAATAAAATGCTGCTAAACAGACTAGGCTCTTGTTTGTCATTTAACTGTTTCATTATTGGAAGAGTGGCAGGTTAAACTTGTGGGGTTGTACTGCAATTTACATTTGCTGGAATCTGTTACAAGAAAGATGAGGAACTTTTTGTGAAACCTGCACAACATCTTCCAATGTGAGTGAGTGCCTAGCATGGTGAATTATTGAGCTATATTAATTATAGTGATTAATTAGAGTTCATTCATCCAATGATGGCCTTTATAAAACAACAAAATGTTCCATTGTCCGTAATCACTAGATTCTGAGGAAATAGGTCGCATATAATTTTCCATCTAGGTGCAACTTACTTTCCCATTTTCAGACTGTGTAAGCAGTTTGTCATGGGACTTTCCTCTACAAATCATCACAAGGTTGCAGCAGGCATTTACAAAAGAAACTGCTATCAAGATGCAAATGCTGGAAAAAATAAGAGCTTTGATCCAGAAAAATCATAAACTGAAAGATCTGTCAATTTCTTCTTTGCTTCTTGAGTATCCAGAGCAGGGGCGGAGTGAGCCATCGGTCCAATCGGACCTGGTCTGAGGGCCCGGCACTGCAAGGGGCCCGCCTGACTCGGGCCCCCTTGTGTGTGTTTCTCATGGCCGTGCGGACTGCCGGGCACAAGTACGGGCAGATCTGTGACCGTGCAAAAATGAAAATTTGGAGAAGAAAAAGTATCTTCATTAGCAATCAAACTAAATTTGTGAAGAAAGAAAGTAAAAGAAAACGAAGAAACCTTACGAATGAACGCATTAAAAAAAATGTCTCTGTTTTTTGGGACTAGTAAGTTCAAACCTGGTTCCCAGCTAGACTGCAAGGCATAGCTTTATCGGATCCTTTTTGATTTGCCTCACCTGCACCTCTTGCCTGGCCGAAAACACGCAATAAATTATTTTAATATTGTAAAAATATTCTGGTGACCATAAATCTGGCGCCCTTAGTCTGTGGTACCGGTCAAGTCTTAGCGAACTCTCTCTCCGATCCCCGTCACTCCCAAAAGACACTAAAATTTTCATATGATATTTAGAATTTCCAAAGAAAGGACACCTTATAAATTCCTGTCTGTTTCCATTGCCAAGCATTTCAGTAAGTTAAAATATTGACTAATTATTTTGTTTACATCTGTAATTATGCTAATTTGTTACAAATATTGAGTAAATTTAAATTCGCATCATGTAATTTCTTAAGTCAAAGTTTTTAAAATGTCAATAAGAGGGTTTAATGCGAATTCAAGCAAAATATTTAAAAAAATTTTTTAATCAGTATTGTTTTTAAATTGACGAAGGGGTTAACAGTCAATTTATGCCAGTGAGTGCATTAGATCTTACCACATTCTTCTAAATCATTGATATAATTTCAGTTGATAAGCGAATTCGATGAGCCACCCTCTAAGATTTTAAGGCCTGATTCCATGACAGCCAGTACGCAGGTTACACATGCAAAAAGTGCGTATTTTTTAAAACCGAATACCAGCTATAATGCGTCAATTTCACAGGAGATATTCTGGAAATTTCATCCAAACCAGCCTGTATGTAATATACCATTTAATAGCGCTGTTGTATATGACAGACAAAGCATTCAGGGCATGAATATTAACAGAAAGTGGGTAACATACAATGAAGAAAATAAGAGTTTACATTGCTCATTTTGTCTGATGTATGCTCCCGAAAAAAGTCGAAATATACAGATGATCCAGGGCTGTTCTGATTGGAGACACATCGCAACGAGACTTTCGGAACATGAAAAGAGCCAGTGTCATAAGCATTCTACTGATGCATATTTTCTGAATGCTTGTGAAAGATCCGCCAAGCACAATTTGTTAAAGGAACAACTCTCCTTAAGAACCCAACAAGTTCTTCAGCATCGCTCTGTTTTAAAGTGTATAATTGATGCAATATTTTACATTGGGTTTCAAGTTTTGTCTTACATGGCAAATATGGAGAAGCTGTTGCAACTGCATTTGATGAAAATAATCAAGACAATGCTGGGAATTTTTTAGAGGCTATAAAGCTTCTTGCAGAGTACAATCCACAATTGCAGGAACATTTGCAGAAGGTGGTTTTGCAAGGCAAACAAAAAGATCCATCTAAGAAAGGGCGTGGCAAATTTGTTACTTTTTTTGTAAATTTAATTCTTTTAGCTTTCAATTGAAGCTAAAAAAATCTTCAAGAATGCATTTTCATTTTTAAAAATTCTTAGAACTTATGTATTGATAATTTTAGCAACAAATTGGAGGTACCTATTTTGTTACCTTTTTTTTAGTTTATGATTCAGAGAAGATTTTCAGAAAAAACAACTAGTTTGAAAAAAAACAAAAATTAGATAATTTACATTCATTCATAAAAAAAAAAGATTTGGAAGGAAACTTAATTTCTCGAAATTTCATGAAAGTGGTTTAACACATGTAAAAAAAAAAAAAAAAAAAAAATGCTAGGATTTTCTAAAACAAAAAGTTTCAAAAATAATTTCATTCATTTGTAAATAAGTCCTGAAAGTTTCATTAAAATCCGGTTATTTGATTTTTGCAAGAATTTCATCGGTAAAAAAAGTGCAAAAAACACTAATCATAAATATGTTGACTGCTGACATACCCCCCCAAAAAAAAAAACAATTTTTAAACAAAATTTCAAACATGCTGGAAAGGATTAAAAAATTAAAAACAAATACTTTGGTCTTTCTTAATAATATCAAACATTTTAACGATAAAAATTTGTTTTATTAAACTTGGTGCTTTTTATCATGCTATGCTGTTTTTTCAGTGAGCAAGTGGTGTTACCTAATTTTATAAATAAGAGTTATTAAGGAAACTGTTAAAAAAAATTTTGATGAATAATGAATTTTTTACAAGAATAGTTTTCATTTTAATCATAATTTCTATATATAAATTTTTAAATTTCTGCATTACTTTCATCCAGTTAGGGGATGTTGTTATCAAGTGAAAACTATATTTGCTAATCAAAAATTGAAAAGCTTAATACAAATTATTTTGCACTAGGAGTTTTAAAATAATTAAAAAAAAATTTTTTATGTATATGAAATATTACATAATGTGCCTGTTTGAAAGTATGGTGAACCATACATTACATTTCCCAAAAATAAGAGTGATGACAATAGTAAATTTAAAATCAACATTCCTAAAATTAAATTACATGGTTAGGGTATTTCCAACATTTTTAGTATTACTGCAGACTTAAAAATCATATAAAAAGCAGGGACGTTCACATTATTTTCTTAAATTATGTTTTGCAGATAAAGTTTCCATAGAATAACATTGTCAATGCCTCATCAATTATGTAAAACATGGCAATGTCAGTTAAAAAACAGCTATGGTTTTGTTTTAAAAGTATATTTATTTTAAACTTAAAATAAATAAATATTTTTCAAATCAGATTAATTATACTTTTTAAATCAACTCATATTCCTCAAAGTTTCAGAAAAGTATACTTTACTTTTGGAAAAAGTTTTTAATACAGAAAATTTTATTGCAATGAAATTATATTGCAATGAAATTATATTGCAATGAAATTATATTGCAATGAAATTATATTGCAATGAAATTATATTGCAATGAAATTATATTGCAATGAAATTATATTGCAATGAAATTATATTGCAATGAAATTATATTGCAATGAAAAGTCTAATGAGCACTAATCAACTATTTTAGAATTTTAAAAAAATCGATTCCAATCAATATAATTTCTGTATTTACCAGAGTATTTTGCTTACCAGAAATGGTAAATTTAATCCTTTAGCTTTCATCTAAAGCTTCAAGAAATCTTTATACAAAAAATTAATTTCAAACAAAGGTATCAAATTAGTGGAGGCATCTATATATGAAAAACCACTGTTAATTGTTTTTTCATTCATTTTATTCAAGTATTATGAATTCTTAATTTTCCCTTTCAAATCTGTTTTTGTTAGCACTTAATAATTTGCTTCTTCAATACTTATTTTGACATTTCTAGATGAATCTGACTAGACAGTGTCTGGACAACTACAGTGTTATTCAAAGTGGACGGCCAATTCAGTGTGGCCATGTTTTCAGAGAATTTTCTGCAAACAAGTCAGTAAAAGAGGTTGTAAAATGGGCTGCCTTGAAAAATGGCCAAAATGATCATCCTTCACTTCTTCCTCTTACAGTCAAGAAACTTTATAACTGGTACAAAAGCAGGTATTTAGGGCATTTTCAAATATTTGAAAATAAATGTAAAGAGGTGGCCCATGCTGTATACCCAAAGTATGTTTCTCTAAGATTCCCGATTACTTCTTCTACTGACATCCCGGGAGCTTCTTCTACCGACATCCCGGGAGCTTCTACCGACATTCCGGGAGCTTTTACAGATACACAGAATACAAGTCACATTGCCTTTGAGCATGGTTGTCAAGAAAAGAAATTGAATCTCTGAGAAAGGAAACTAAAACTTGATGCAAATAAATAAATGTCGCAACTGGGCATCTTCATTTTGACTGTATTTTGAATGAAGTTCCTGTAAATTAAATTGATGGGCTGTTGAGATCCATATTTAAAACTGTCAATTTAAAAGAAAAAGATTCTCCTGAAATCAGTTCCATAACTGCAATTGGCCAGATGGTACGAGAACTTAGCTTTTTTTCAGATGTAAAAACAATTGATGCAATTCTGAGTGCAGAAGGTTCACTTTAGTATTTAATGCAATGACACGAGATGACATTCACTGTGTGATATTAACAACATCCTCTACTCATCTTGTGTCAGTAGAATGTCTGCCTGGAGTGACTGCACAACTTTATAAGCAGCATATTTGTGAATCTGTCAGAAAATTAGCTAAAGTACACTAATTAACAACAGGCGTGAGTGTTACTGACAGTTTCCAAACAATTGTATTGAAAATAAAATGCTGCATGACTGACTGGGATTCTGTCAACCATTTGACCATTTCTTTACTAGAGGAAGAGTGGGGCACAAAACTGATTGAACTTAATTGTAATCTACACCCATTAGAAGTAGGTAGATTACAGAAGGTGCGCTGAGAATGCAAGTACAATTCTACCAACAGACTACAAGAACATAGCAGACTACATGAAAAAATCATCAATGAATTTTGCAAAGAAAAGGGTCGAGCGCCTGATGTCTCAAGCCCAGGTGACAAGATGATAAAGGCAAGGCATAATGCTCTGGACGTGCAGTTTGGGACCTATTTGTACTTGGCACAACAAATGTTATTGTAAGGAAATAAACAGCTGACAAAAGTCAAAACAATAAGTTATGGTTTAAAGATTAATAATATTTCCCAAAAATATGCTGTTTCCATTGTTGTTTCTGCAAGGTTATTGCAATAAAGATATAGCACTTTTTACTTGCTTTCTTTCTTTTTTCCAACTAATGTTTACCTAATACAAGACAGAGTAAGGTTGAGACTTACTGTGTGGTGTTGTATGAACTTTTGAATTAACTACTATAATTTAAGCTATATTTAATCTATTTACAAAGAATAAAATAAACAGTTATGAAGACTAAAAAGCAGTTGACAAATTTATTTGATCATTTCTAACCTGATTTATCAAGAATACAGGCATTTGTCTATTTGGGTAAATATTTTGTGATACAAAGGCAAACTTCCAAAATCAATCACTATTATTTGGCTTCCTTATTGGTTGAGATGGTGAAACTAGCAAATATGGGGTTTGTCAACCATTTAGAACCACTTGGCAAGACATCTTGAAAGATAGTCCTGGAGCAGCTGATTTTTTTTTTTTTTTTTTTTTTTTCATCAATATGGCATCACATTGACAGTTCCTGTAATTACTTTTGCTATACTGAAAATAAAACAATTGAATTTTCTCACCTTGTTAACAAAGTTCATTTCTACATATTTTCAGTTATCCTTCTTTATAGTAAAAAAAAAGAAAAGAAAGGTATCTTTCTTTTTGTTTTGTTTGTACATAAAAGTCACTTACTGAGAAAAAAAATGTGTGTCCTGTATGATAAGCTGAAGATAAAATAACCAAACTAGAAACAAGTCAGTCACAGGTGTTGCCATAAATGCATATCGGATATACTAATATTTTGTCCTTTCCCCTTGTCAACCAATAGAAAAATTGTTTTGTCAATAAAAGCAGTTGGTGTTCTTGAATTGAAGAAAAAAGTTGTTTTTATTTTTCTACCTTGTTTGTTGGGTTTCTGACTGTTTACCTGTATTGGGATTTGTGGCATTGGACTTGTGATTTTGACATTTCTTTCCGCCCCTGGATCTTTGAATTTAGACTTGGAATTTGTTTATTTTATTGCAGAATTGGGCTGCCATATCAATTATTTGAACACCTTGTTTGCAAGGAAAGAAAAACAGTTTAAAACTTTTTTGCTGCATATCTGTATCTTCTGTCTAATCTGTCACATGCACTAAAATAGCCAGACAATGACCAATCGAAACCAAATTTTGGAGACGTACAAATAGGTAAGGTGCTTGGCTTAGTACAATAAATTTAGGGGAGGGGGGATTAAGTTTTCTTATTTAACATGCAAAATAATCCTATTTTAAAAACAATATTACTAAATATTGTGAGGATTTCAATATGCTAATACATGTTGCAAAAAAAATTCAGGCTAGTACAAAAATTTCACATTTCCATAATAAAAATAAGGAATAAAATAAAAAATAAAAATACCATAACATTTCATAAATGGGTTGTACTTATAATTATTAGTTACCTCTCTTCACAGCTGTTTGAGGGTTCCTATAGCCCCACACCTAAGCTTAAAGTCAATTCAAGTCAGCTATGGTAAAAATTTTCTATCCCAAGTAATAATCATCACAAAAATAGCAAAAGTGATTTTGTCACAGCCTATTTTCTCAAAAAAAAAAAAATGGATTTTTATACTTTTATAGGGGCAAAACAAGGTAAAATATTGAAAAATGACTGTCATGATCTGAACTCCATGAAACTAGGTATTTTCTGATAGCAAACAAGGTTCTTTTATTCCAAAGTAAAATTGGCTGGTATGAATAACTCAAAAGATTTTTTCAGGGGGTAAAATGTGAAAAAAATAGTGAAAATTTTGCATTTTTATTTTTAGTTCTAAGCAAAAATTTTCCCCTATAATGAGAAATCAACTTTATTTTTGAAAATCAGAAAGCCTAAATCATAATCAAACTATTTCAGATATAAAATTGAGAATTTGAAGCAAAACAAAATTCCTAGGGAGTCAAAATGCTGAAAAAGTCCATTGGTAATTTTCAATTATATGGCTGCCAGGGGTTAAAAAAAAACTGATACAAGTTTTTTATTTTTTTTTTCCAAAAATAGCAGGGATAAGGGAAATAGGGTTCAAATGAAACCAAATTAACTTTGACATGGTTGGCTCTAAGCCAGCAATAAAACAAGTTGTCATCAGCTGCTGGTGATAAACCACACCACTTAACAAGATAAGAACAAAGTTATTTTTTTCAAACCTATGTTAGAAAGTTGAGATGGTGTCAGTTGAAGCTGTGAAAAAAAAGAAATTGAACATATGGCTTGATTTTTTTTTTTATACACCTCATGACCCAGGTGATGACAAAAAACACTAACAGCCGGTACTGTTTTGTTTTTTTTGCTGAATGTCTTTCATATTTCCCATCATAGTCATATCACGATTCCTTTTATTCAATGATGTTCACACCAACTTAAAAGAGAAACAATTGAAGGTTGAAAAAAAATTGTTTTGAAGTGAAAAAAAATTATTTTTTGATAAAACAAAAAAACAAAACTGATTTTTCTCATAAAATTGGTCATAATTTCTTAATGCTAACCCCCAAATGACATTTTTCACAGCCAAGTCAAAGATTAATTGCCAGTGAATAATTTCATAAACAAATAGTTGTTGGGATCCAAAATGGCCTGAAAATATCTAGAAGGTGACTGATTGATCGAAAACTTGTTGCACATAATTGTGTTTTTCATGGTTAGTTTCCATTGTTTCATCTTGTCATTTTCAAACAGCCAAGTCATTGAGAATTAAAGAATTTGGCACAGGTTTGCTTCGAGAACTTTGCATTCTATGAGGTGTTTAATGCCACTGATGAATGAGAATTTTCACAGAATATTTCATTCCATGTTGGATTTATTTATATGACAAAAACAAGTGTTTTAAATAACTGATGAAATTTTAAAACTTATTTTATCATAAACTTCATAGCTTTGTTTGAAGATGCTTTCTGGGAAAAATAAAAATTTTCATGTGACAAATATAAAAAGAAATAAAAATCAATGAGCTGAATTCATGCCTTTCCCAAGAGTATTTGCACATAATGAACACAATTGGAACAGTGCTTTAAAAATTTCCTGCATTTTTAAGGAGTATATATTGACATAGTAAATAGTATAAATATATTAACACAAGGGGTGGGAAGAACAGGATAAGAAAAAATATTACTTAACTGTAAAGTGGTGAACAGAACAAAAAAAAATTTATTTTGAAAATTAATAGTAATTATTTTAGATACATGATTTAGAACCATTCAATAGTATTGTCACAGACTGAGATGTGAAGACCATTTTTGTTGAGTTTCTGCATGAAACTAAAAATTACCTCTCTTATGACATTTTGTTATAGTATGTACATTGTGGTGTAATGGATATCAGCTCAATGAGAACTCAGAGTCATGTTCAAATCTTAATCATGTTCACTTAAGCACAAATACCTTTGGGAAAGGTATGAATCCATCTCTTCTCCCCCAGCTATGAGTTAAATAGCAAGACTGACTGGATTCTTTAGCCTTGATTGGCAACCAGTCTACTGCAGAAAGAAGAAAATCTTCTGCCTCATCAGTCATGTATCGAAAGATACATGATCACCCAAGTGTGTGGCACTTAACTGACTGATTTTAAATTTTATTTTTCCAGAAAGGCTTTATAAAGCTAAAGTAACTAAAAATCAATAAAATTTTAGATTGCTTAAAATGTTAATTTGTAAAAATTACTGAGTAGTTAAAGAAGTTCACTTAAAATTTGTCACTTCTGTTAATCTGTCTGATAATTCTTGTCAACAGTCAATACATTGATCAACACCTGAAGTACTATGGTTAACAAATGCTTTTCTTCTTTTCTACATTTTTAGGCTAAAAATGTAATGTAATGTAATCAAATTATTAAGTAAACTTTAATTTTATTTTTACAAGATTTTTGAAACAGTTTACAAATGTCTCAAAAAATGGTGAACATGCTCGATTTTATTGAAAACAAAAAAAGAGTTTATTTGGTTTTAAATACAAAGCATTTTATTTTTTGGGTAAAGTTCTTTTTCCTTTGAATTAAAGCTTCAAGAAAATTTTTCATTTTTAAAAATACATTTTAAAACTTAGGTATCATGAACATAAAAACTAAAAAGTGATGTTAGGGTGGATTTAACCCTGCTTATAATGGTGGGGGAGGATAAAATAATGTAATG